CTGTTGGTAGAGTTGGTCCGTTGATGTAAATAACACAATAAAATCTTCTATGGGACTACTTTTCATCTACTGAAACAGTTTTTCACGAGTGCTTGAATAGTAATGATTCCATGGAGGGCATTATTATTACTAAAACTTGACTCAACTATCAGTGATAGTGGAATTGCAGCATTGAGACATTATTTACTGTACAAAAACAACAATAGTTTGTTGTTTTTGTACAGTTCCGTAGTTGTTTTTAGTTGTCACAAACGTTTGTGACAACTAAAAACAACTACGGAACTCCAAGCATGAACCAAGCAAATAAATTATCATAGTACCAAAAAATAAAACGATTATTAGGCCTTTACCATGAACAGAGCTTTCTCTCATAATACATACAGTAAGAGTTCATCGTTGTGAGCCATTGAATGACGCCTCGTGTCTGCTGTGGTAACGTCTGTGTCCATTTGGATTGACTGCTGGGCTGGATCGGTCCACCGTTATATTCTCTTCATATATCTCTCTACAGATCAGAGACAGTCTGTCTTCCATCTCCTCGTGTGTCCTCTACTGCCCTGACACTGACATATTTACACAGGGTTTTGATCACATAATCAGTTTATCTATACAAAAAAGCAAAACATCAAAGTCAGACCAATGATGAATATCCCTAGAACCCCTAGACAGCTCGCTACAGCAACCTACTACTGTTATTCTCTTACTACCGTGGTTAAAAACAAAGTGAAAAGCCTTTATATGGTGCAACCAAAGATTGAGTTCCACCTCTCGAGTGTGTTCGTGCACATGCATGTGTGTGCGTGTTTAGTGGAGCTCTGTCCTCCTCAGGTGTCCGCGGTGTGCCGGGGCGCTCGGTGGGAGTTCTCCTCTCCTCTGCCCTTCCCTCTCCTCTCGCCACTCGGAGGAGAATACTTCCGTTTGCCCTTTTTGCGTTTTTTATCAGAGCACCACACTCTCTCACAGTACTCCTCCACCCTCTGAGCATCCCCGTAGCCGATGAGCTGGAGAAACTCCTTGTACCACAACCTGGAGTGGGGGCCAGAGACCGCGGATGGCCCTCGAGCCTTCGGGCTAATGCTGGGATCTGGGGGGGGGGCCCATGGAGGAGGGGCACGGCAGTGCAGATTTGGCCGCTTCCCCGTCGTCGGCTGGGTGCATTGCTGACTCCACCCGTTCGCCACTGAGTACGCGCAGAGATAGGCGTAACAACGTGTGCACGTATCCGTGCTCCTTGGCCTCGCAAACGTACACGCCGGCGTCGGAGCTTCTCACTCGCAGAAACAGCAGCCCGTGGGAGGTGACGATAACTCGCTCATCACCTCGAACCTGCAGGTAGGAAAAAAATGGAAGAAAAGGCATTCTAACCATGTGCCGCTCATGCAAGTCGGTTCAGACATTTCAATTGTTGCTTGTTTTGGCAGAATATTTGATTAAAAATCCTGAGGATCTGAAGAACTGAATTAAAGAGATCTTTAAAAGTGTACTCAACACAGTGACTTCCATACGTTATAGGAGTTGAAAAAAAATTTAAAAAAAAGTTAGTCTACAAACCTCGCTATTTAAAAAACATCAGCAGTATTTTTAGTCTAACCAAAACTACTTGCGTTGAAGGACGGGGAGAAAGGGGGTCGGAGGAACATTTGTTTTTGTTACACAATAACAGTATTATGGTGATTTTTTTTAATCTAGTGTAATGTATTTACTTTTCATATTGGTGTTTGTAGTGTTATATATTGTTAAACGTGTTAACATCTGGATGTTCTTTAGAAAGGTCCATCCAGTTTACCTCGTGTTTCTCTCCGTCTTTTTGCAGGAACCAGAGGACCGTGGCTTGAAGTGATCGAGGGACACACTCTAGTAAAGTGCTGTTGCTCTCCACACCGTACACCAGCCTCTCCTCGGCTCGCTGCCATGGTTCATCTGCACACACACACACACACACACACACACACACACACGCGTCCACAGATTGGTACGAAATGATTAGATGACCTTTCATCAAAGAGTCACATCAAATCAGTAACAAAATCGGCCTACTACCACCTCAAAAATGTAGCACGACTTAGAGGGCTCATGTCAGCTCAAGACTTAGAAACACTTGTACATGCCTTTATAACTAGTAGGCTAGACTATTGTAATGGTCTCCTTGCAAGTCTTCCAAAAACAACTGTCAGGCAAAGTATATCACTGATATGCTTCCACTACATAAGCCTTCAAGATCACTAAGATCTTCTGACACCAATCTGTTAGTGATTCCCAGAGTAAATACAAATCATGGGAAAGCATAATTTAGTTACTACGCAACAAACAGCTGGAATGAACTTCCTGAAGATTTAAGACTTGCCCCAACTCTGACCACGTTTAAAACAAGACTGAAAACTTTTATGTTCAGCTTCGCCTTCTGCTAAATTTCACCTACATTGCACTTTAACCTCTGCCTTTAATTAAACAATTTAAATAAGATTTTAATTTATAATTTTATTTGCTGTTTTTAATTGTCTTTTAATTCCTGCATTTTATTTCACTTTATTGTATGAAATGTTATGATGTGAAGCACTTTGAGTCTGCCTTGTGTATGAAAAGCTTGTGTATAAAATTGCCTGGCCTTGCCTTGCCTTCATTAGATGACAAAAGGAGAGAATTGTTCCAATCTATTTCCTCAGTAGAAGCACACTAAACTGCACACACACACACACACATCATAGAGCCATTTTATACACTAACCCTCAATTTGCAGCCCATTGCACAGCTGGACAGCGTTGCCATGGCGAACATCCTGCCGTCTGAATCTTCTGCTGAGATGTTGGTGAGGGAAGTAGAGGGAGTCATATTACATGTGTAATGTACAAGAACACGGGTGAAAGAATAGAGAAATATCCAATATGGGGATGGAGAAAGAAAATGCATGAAAGGGGAGGGTGATGAAGGGTACACTGATTGATGTTAAACAACAACAACTAGCTGCCATTTTGCTCGCAGCCTGTGATGGTGACTTGGCAGACCAGTCTCAGAGCATTGCGACATTCATTGCAACACACTTTGATGTGAACAGAAGTACTGTGGAAGATGTGAGCAGCTGGTATCACCCACACACTCTCTCACACACACGCACATACACACACAACTACAAATATCTTCAGAAATACATATGGTCCTGTCTCAGAGTGGGTTTTTAGTTACCTTTTGGTGTAAATTCCAGCAGGGTAGTATCTGGTGCAGGTGAGACCATCCCAGGCACAGTAAGGGTCTCTGGCTAGACAGCAATCGGCGCATTCTGAGCCATAGAGGTCACACTGATGCAGTGCGACTTGGGCCACACCCGCTTCTGACCCAACATACAGCCGCTGCTGTGGGCCCAACAGCACGAGCACCGTTAATATCAGCACACAGTTTAACAGGAATCCACATTCATGCTTTTTGTCTCATTTAACTGTGATAATGAGCCACCAGCAACAGAACATCTCAATCATGTCAGTACAAGTTAATGAAAATGTACCAATGTTGACATCTTGTGGCTGAAAAGCAGAATAGCATGAGTGAACAGAAAATGCATTCACAAGGTCCTCTTACCCGTTTAGGTGATATTATGATCTCTCTGATTGGTGCTGGCACCTGCAGACAGGGCACATCGTACCTCAAAAATAAATGGCAATCATATGCTACAAGAATATCATAATGAAAGCCGACATAAAGCTCTCAGATCTTTTTCTTCAAATCGTTCTGAAGATCTCTAACGAGCAGGGCTGCTAAATCACAACTGCGGCCCTCAGATGATGGAAAAGAGGCAAATCAGGATTTCAAAATAACCCGTTATTGCGGACTGCGGTCTGTAGGCGCTGCAATACAGAATGGACTTAGTTACAGTGTCTACTCTTGTTTCACGTTGTGTAGCTAACAATGAGTACCTTAAATACTTGCAGCTCCTCCAGCAGCACCTCCTCCGTAGTGTCTGTGTCTTTGTTGTAGATGGTGATTACTTTTAACACCACCGAGTCGTCTAACAAAGAGGAAAACAATGTCACACTGTTCCAACAACTAAGTGCTAATGGGTTGCAATAAAAAGAAAAAAAAGAAAATCACAACCAGTGCAAACCGCATTAGTACAAGAAACAGCTGTTATTCAAGAGTTTGTGTTTCTTCTGTACTTAATTTTTGCAATATATTCAGCATTCTTCACTGTGTGTGTGTGTGTACCGGTGCCGATGTAGAGTACATGATAGTGTCCGTCCTGCGCTTGGACTCTGTCCACGGCGATCTGGGTCAGCTTTCTCCTGCCTGTCTCTGTCTGCAGCAGCACAGGCCTCCCGCGATGTGGAAAGACAGGGCGATACATCACAGGGTGGGAACGCACAAACCGCAAAACCTCATCGGGAAACTCCTTGGAACTTGAGAAGCCACATCTGTTCACTTTACTGGCACACTGTCAAAGAGAGATGCGACAGGAACAGAGGGGGGCAGGGACAGGTGGTCCGTTATACAGTGTAAAATATGGAAAAACTGCTTTCGTCTGGCTGAGGATTTCCCTGTACGACCTGCTGACGAAGCTAGATTAGTGCTGACATTCAGCAGTTTGCCCGCATCAACATTGTTTCCTCACAAATAACTTCCGTCATGGACTTGGACCAGTGGAAAATCACATGCTGCAAACATAACTTGTATTTTACGTTAAGACTTACAGATCCAGGTCGAGGGTAGGGGACTCTGTCCTCATAAGCTGTCCAGTAATGCTCAGGTTTCTTTCGGTAGGCGAATGGACCATTAAAGGCTGCTCTTATGTCATCCATGTGGTAGACACATACTGCAAAGCCTTTGAACACCGCACTGCAAAGAAAGGCTCCGTTAGTGATTTCCTTGGAACTGTACAATGAAACAGTGAAGTCACAATCCGGTCACCTTGTCGTGCTAAAGAGGCCAAATATTTCAGGGTTGTTCCCGTCCTTGTTGTTAAGCACAAACACATCCTCTGAAAACAGAAAACATTAATATTAGGTGTCGTTGGAGGAGGCCGTACATTTAATAGATAGTTGACAAAGTAAACGTAGTACCTGCTAAGCATTGACATGTAGCACTTTCTTTATGAGCCCTTTAGACAACAGCTCCTCAAACTCGGCTGAGAAAGTACAGACAGTCTTCTGGGACCCTGCGTCTTAAAATTCTCCCAACAGGTTGAGCAAGTGCTTTTAAATTGTTCTTATCCTCTTGCAGACGGAGGGATATGTGTTTTTTTTATCCATAGGGATAGACGAGTCCTTGGGGATTTTGGTAATATCCTTAGAAGTGAGATTACTTTTAGGGTTTTCAAAGATTGTCAGTGTTTTATTGAAAAATATCACTGTGAAAAGAATCCAGCCAGAAGGTAATAAAAGAGTGGCGCTTACTCGGCTTTAGTCATTCTACACATTGGCTACTGGCACTGCATCTTTTGTGAACAAGTGTTGAAATGTTCTATTCTACTGAATATCGGTTGGTACTACTGCAGGTCAGAACTACAATGTAAGAAAATCCTCTATTACACAGTGACTATTTGCATATTTAGGGATGTATATGCAGATGCATGGAATAGTCTCAATCATTATAAACCTGTTTACAACAGATACATAAGATGGCATGCAAAGAGTTTCCTTGTAGCCCCACCGAGTTCATCAAAGTGTGTATCGATGCCATTCGGTCCGGCCACAGAGCAGATGAGACGGGTTTTCAGGAAGGAGCTCCATCTGTTCACCAGCATTCTCTGTCCTCCTTGGTCATTCTTAGAGACAAAGGCAGATACGGTCTGTGAATGCTGCTGTACTTTGGCCCTGGATGAAGGCAAGACATCTTTTTAGAGCATTTGCAGTCTCACCGCGCAGACTCGGCCCACACGAGTGAACACCGCCTTGTTCCCTCCCTCAGAATCCATCTCCCGCTCAGTGAAGAAGAAGTACACTTTATCATCGTCTCTGTCATTGTTGTCGGGAATAACTGCAGACCCCACAAATTTAGGCTCTGTGGGCAGAAGAAGGCACAAAAGGCTTGAGAAATGAAATATGACGGTCAGCATGCCTGTAATTTGTAATCTGTTCATTTCATAAACGGTACCAATTAAGAAACAGTGAAATATGGTTGTTTAATTATGTGAAAGTGTAATGAAACAGATTGTCGGTAATCTTCAGATAGAACTAATCCTGACATGAGCAGTTATCTTTGCACTCCCTCTTATTTAAAGGGATATCCTTTTTTTTGCTGAAAAATATACCAACCATTAAGTTGCTGCTTGTCGTCTCGTTCAGTGCGCGTGTAGGTCTGGTTGTTCAGTCGACAAAACGCTCCATCATTCTCCCAGTAATCTGTGTACAGGCCGATATACAGCTCTCCTCCTAATGTATGCACAGGTGTATGAGACACACATTTCACAACAATGCGTTCAAAAACGTGGTGTGATTAAAATGTGCAACCACTTTCACTGCGACATGAGGAAAGGCCACAAGATGGCAGCGTTGATTTGTCGGAACAACAAAGCAAGCGCATCCCTTCGGCGGGGAGCAGCGTTGCAGGAGTGAGGGTGCAGGGGGATGAGCGACAGACGAAGGGGTGTCTTACTGGAGAGCGTAGACGTGGAAGGGCTGTTGTAGTCATATGGACACCGTCCTCTGCCGCTCATGATGCTGTCTTCCTCAAGAGCAAACGGCCTGTCCTGAGAATGTGAACACAACGCCTGTTAACACATAAACATGCACGGAGCAGCAGCTTTGCCAACATCCGGACAAACCCTGGAGAAGGGAGGTATAGGGGAAGGAGAGCGGAGATTAAGAAATTGATGGATGAGAAAGAGGAAGATATACACATGAGACAAGGAGTGATGGATGACAGTGTGAATAATTACTCTCTGGATGTGTAACACTAACACGGTGAGTTCACCGATTGTACTCTTATGACCCCACAGGAAACACACGTGCAGAAACACACTCATACACACTCTAAGAGAACTCCCGACAGAAGCAAAGCTTATATCTTGTGGGCCACCGCAGTGTTCATGACTGTCACTGGCAGAGCAGAGGGGATGTCATGCGTTGATTTACGAGCAGCCCCTGAACCTGAAATGTGCTGTGACTGCTCACCGGCAAATGACTGTAACAGAAGTCCGTTTTTGGGTTGAAGTCATCCATTGTATTGTTACATATAACCAAACGTTAATTAGGTAAAACAGGCTGATACAATATTACCCTACATTAAATACTCTGGAATGTGAGCTGTATTTCTATTTTTATTTTGAGGCCAGTGGTACATTAAGTAAGTACAGTAAGTTGAGTATTTTTCCATTACAGCTGATTGTTATGTAAATATTATTCTGCTCATGCTTAAGGGTAAATGTAATTCCACACACCAAGTGAAACATTCTTCCGTTCAACCGATGACAGAGATTAGGTAGTCTAAAAGGACCTGTTTTTTTTCACTCAATGAGCATTCCAATGAGTTCAGTGAAGGATATGAGTGGACCTGTTTGGATAGTTTAACTAGTCCGGTCAACCTACCTCACCACTGTTGGAATACATGGAAGAAACTCCAAACACACCTAGAATCTAGAATCTAGGAGAACCTATAATCTAGGAGAAACCGTACGTGTCACACTGTCGACAGACAGGCGCTTGCACGGATGGATGCAAGCGAATTTCCATGGTTACCAGCATGCACGCATGCCTGTGCACCCTAACCCCCCCCCCCCCCCCCCCCCCCCTATAAACTGCTGACATATATCATTGAATGACCCTGGATAAAATACACATTTCCATTAGAATACCGAGGAGCTGGTCACCTTTTCATAGTACGTGGTCATTGAAACAAACTCTAATTCTGTCCATAGGACTCACCTGCCCTGTGTGTCCCATTCTGACCAGGGCGCAGATGGGGTTAAAGGCTCCTGTTCCACAGACCAGCAAATGAGTTTGGTTGTACTGTTGCAGGACCTTGATGTAGTTAGCACACTCCGACTGTTGGGGAAGACAGAGATGGAGCAGTGGGGGGGGGGTGGGAGGAGGGTCGTTGGGTGAGATGCGGGTGAGGCCATCAGAGAAGGGGGTGTACTGGAAAGATTCCAGGCCTTTTTACAATAACATTGATAAAATCAATACGCCAGGTTGGACAAAGTTCAATAAGCACAGCGAAATGTAGATTCCAAAATTGATTTATCGACACACACACCAAGTTAATGCACATAATCAATGAAACATTTATACCTTCCCTTGAAAATTAATCACATCCATACTATTGTGTCCTGTACCTTTTCCCTTCCCTTCATCAAACATTCCTCATTCTGAGATCCTGTACTGGCCCACTGGATCTGTGGGAAAACACAGCTGTGCTCATATTTACAATACAAAAATAATTAGTTGTACAGCATATTTTTGTTCACTGCTAATATCTTTTCCAATACTGTATTGTTCAACCTTTTGAATTTCTAAACGAAAGAAAATACTCAAAGTTAAAGTTTTGTACTGATAACCATCCTAGGAAAATACGCACATGCTCAAATAGTTCAGCCAACCAATTGGCCCATGGGTGTATGAGTTACAACATGTCTGTCTTCCTCATAAGCAACGAGGCATGAAAACAGGCCCACCTCTCTGTGTTGTGTGTTGACCCGGTCCAGGCTAAGGGAGAACAGAGTATTCTTGGCCCCGACATAAAGCCTCCCGTGGCCTTCGTCCAGCAGCATGGTCTGGGGCTGAAGCGACGCCGTCCCATGGCCCTGGAACACCCAGGTCCTGTTCAGCTGCCAGAGTTCTGCAGGTAACACGAGCGCACGTGGAAAGAGATCGGGGCGCTTTGCAATTAGAAAGTCATAGTTGGGTAGAAAGACGGAGTTTTCATTTAATTTCACTCTCACCTGGAGGAAGATTACATTTGACCGAACCCTCCTCCTCAAATCCTCAAGGGGTTTGTCACTGCTCCTATGACCTGCGTCTGAGTCCCGAGTGGCCCAATTGCCAAGGGCACATTGCACATGTGTTTCTCATTCATAGCTTTTCTCAAATGAAGGTGAAAGAGCAGCAGCAGGGTTATCCTTCTATCTCACCTCTCATTTGGCATCTCTGCTTCCTCTTACTTGAAATCTGCTATACGCTTCTATGAGTCATCGGCTTGGTCATTGATCTACAAAGAGTCTTCTTCAGTTAAGGGGCGCGCAGCATAAAAGAGCACTGGACGCTCAAAGCCACACTCACATGCAGCAGTGTGTTTTCATAAAAACTGAAATGGAAGAAGTGGATAATGAGTCCAGGGAAAGATGTTAAGATTGAAGGGAGGGAACATGTGATGTACAAGGCAGGGTTTATGGGCTTCTTTTCATAGGAGTAAAGAAGATTTATCAGACAGGAAACGGATCCGGTCTCTCAATCAGCCGTTAGTTTGAGATCAGCTTCGACTCCCTGTTGGTCTCGCTTTTAGATGTTTTGCGATCTCACTTTAAAAAGGAAAGAGGTGGACTGTGACAGACATGTCATAAAAAACTAGAAAATGCATTTCCTGCTGAAAATGCGTTGGAATGCAAAAAGCTGAAAGCTGAAATGAATATTTAAAAATAGCTGAAAATACAGAAAGTTGAAGGGAATTGAATACATCTGCTGAAATTACAGATATTAAAAAAGCTGAAATTGATTTGAAATTGCTGAAAATACAGAAATGGGAGAAGCTGAAAGGAATTTCAATAGATTTGCTGAAAATGCAGAAATGAAAACAGCTGAAATAAATGTGAAATCTTGCAAAAACAAAATACAGAAATGAATATTAAAACAGATAGATAGAGGTAGGGAGGGTGAGAGGGTGAGGAAGGGAGTGGTGGTGAGGAAGAGATAGAGAGGGAGAGGGGAGGAGAATTAGACAGACAGACTGAGTGAGTGAGTGAGTGAGTGATTAGCAGTGAGAAGAGGTCATGGGGGGTGCGAGCGTCTTTATCATATTGGTCTGTTTACAGAAAGCATAGTTGCGTCATGTGACTCCACTAATCAGGTGATAGGAGCAGCTGTGAGTCACAGACAGAGATACTGCAGCATGTGTGTGAGTAACCACGGCAACGGCGCACCTGGGCTCATTAACGAGCTGCTGCAAAGGGCAGACACAGGACAGCGAGTTATACAGAATCCACACCTCAAACAAATGACAACCAGGGCAAAACTATAACAGCTATCTAAAAAATACGAGACCCAAGACTCTACCGAACGCAGGGAGGGTTTTTTCATGTCTGTCCGGTAAAAAATACGGCTCCTGCCGCAGTTTACAAAACGTGTACCGTCTGGATTTTTTGAGAAATATGTCGGCAGATTTGTATTGGAGCCTATGGGGCTTTTAGCAGAGGTTGTGTGACTGTTGGTCTCCGTAGGCCAAAGCTAAAGAACTCTATGGATTCTATGAACACATTAATCCAATCAGCACAACCATGCCCTCATTAATCTGAAGAAATGAAGCCTCTAGAGTGTATACTTTGGGTGCAAGGACAGAAGTTCCATCTTTTTTTAACCAGATTCTGACGCTGCCTCACACTCTAGCCCTCGAGGTCCCCACTCTAGCAGACGCAATACACACTCATGTAAAAGTCAGAAACGGAGCAAAGAACTAGTGAAACATAATCAGTGATTATGAAAAAAGTACAATAGATATCCACAAGCAGTTTTTTTCATAAAATAGTTAGAGTAGTAGTTAATAGAAAAATCTGAAAGTTGAAGAAGTTTAAGAGGATTTGGAAAACAAACTCCATTTCAAAACCATGTTAAAATATTAATGATTATTGATTTATATAAATTCAAGCGTAAGGGGTAGAATGCTTAATGCATTCCAACAATAATACATCACTCATCAGCATAATTACAGACCAAGCGAACAGCTTTTGTGCACATATGCCACACACCCACTTTGCACCTAATTGGAACTGACAGGCCGTTCCTCTCTACTCTCTCTTAGTGAGCTTCTGAAGAGGGCGAGCGAGAAGGATTTAAAGAAAAAAGTGCTAAGGCCCAGAGGTGTGCACTTCCTCTGGTGCACGTTGGCCTGAAAAGCCTTTCATTAACACATGCCCAGGTCAGACCGGGTGTCCCTTGTAAAAGACTAAATGGGAATCTGGTGTGTGTTAGCACAACTCTTGAAACTTTAGACGAGCAGGCAAGCCAGAGTGAAACCGAAGGCTAAATCTAAATAATTGATAGTAACGGCAGGAATGGGCGCTTATTGGGCAAATTAGACTTAAATCTACTTCACAAAAGAAGTCTAACGAATAAGTTTTACCAGTGAAACATCAAACAACACAACAAGGGGCAACAAAAAAAGAACAAAACAAAATAACAAAATCAAAAAAGGGAAAAGGAGCCGCAGGTGAACTACTGGCCAGAGTCACTCTTTGTATGCAGGACAACGATGGGATTTGTGTAACACACAAAACACTACCATGTGTACAGGGGCCCCCCCAAAAAAACAGGTCCCTTTTATATGTGACGCTGATTGCAGAATGAGGCGGTAAAAGATGCTACGAATTATTACATGTATCTGCTGCAGACACTTGAGTGTACTGCTTAAACTGAAGAAGGGATATCCGCCGTTCCCCTTTCTCTCACTCCATCTTCTTTCAGAGCTTTTTTGAGCCTGAGTCAGGGAGACGCGTGGCTCCACTGGGATCCCACTTCAAGTAGAATACACAGGAAAAAAGGGCTCCCTGAGTGCGGAGAGATAACCGAGAGGATGCGGTTAATGTCTGTGTTTAGTCAAAGATAAATGCACACTGGCGATCACATAAAACGTTTATCTGGAAACTTAAAAACACAAATGGTATTTTCTCCTACGCATAAATGGCACGTCAGGTATAAAACTGGTGGCAGGCCGTCTGATATTCCCAGTGAAACGAGCCTATGTGGGTTTTATGTATCGAGTAATGGGAGTTGCGCAGGAACATAAACAAACACAATGATTGGAACGGACTGGAGTTAAATGGGACAAGAATAAGCATGGAGTCTGTTCTCCTTTTGCAGATGGGGACTTAGACTGTGGAGCCGTCCTGGGGGGGGGGGGGGGGGGAGGGGGAGGGTTATGCCATTATTGGTACATATTCTCTGGTGTGTGCGGGGAAGGATGATGTCACAGTGCTAAATGAAAGCCACATGGAGTGCATGCGGGATGAGGGAGAGAAAGAAAGAGAGCAGGATAAGTGAATAAGTGTGACTGTGATTGATGTTGTAAATCAGAGGGACACATTTACAACTGACAGCTGTTGTTATTGGCCTGGATGGGTACATACCTCTCAGTTGAACCATGCAGTACCCTCGTACTGTGTCGCAAGTCTGCTGTATTTGACTTGCAGTTGGTTAAATTCATTCAATCTACGTGAGCTCCAAACTAGATTTTCTCAATTATAGCCCCAAAACATACACAACACACAACGTCTTGATACTGTGTGTAAATGCATGAAAGTCAAATTTAAATTTACAAATATACATTTTCTTGCTGTATTAGTAATTATTTCTCACATTTATTCCCACATTTATTACCTGCAAGCCGACAAATATATCGGGATTCACGTGTGTCGAAGCGCTTACCTCAGTTGTCATTCGTCATCTTTTCTTATAATATTGCGACATTCTCTCTCAAATGACTCAAAAAATGTTTTTTTTTTTTTATCCAGGACACAGACTTTACTAATCTGCTCTCCCTGATCCTCTCACAGGGAAAAGGTCATAACAATATTAACGTTTCACCAGATGAGAGAAAATACAGAGAGGGAGATTCTGGTCTGGAGAAGAAGGCTTAAAATTCAGCTCAGAGGGGCTTTTCATACGTGCAGTAATTGCTACCTGAGTTATCGCTGTGTTCAAACATACACATACCTCACTCAGGTCCTTTCGCTTAAATCTCATCATTTTACTGTGAAAGCTAAAGAAAATAAATAGGTTGAGAAATAAAACTTATTAGGAAATAAGTCTTTGTAGAACAATGTATGTCCATTTAGTACGCCTACTTTTATTTTCAGTCTTTCAGCTTATTAAGACTGCATACACATGCACGAATGAGTAAATCCAACTGTGATGATTTAACAAACTTTTGTTTACATTTCCAATAAGGATTAAGCGTTTGTGTTTATTTAACATATACAGTATGATGTTATGATGTCAGAACAGCTCGACATTGCCAGATGAACTTCATTCACCTTTGCCGATCTGCTGAGGAAAAATTATTTTACCGCAATAAGTTACATTACATTACATTACATTACATGTCATTTAGCTGACGCTTTTATCCAAAGCGACGTACAATAAGTGCATTCAACCATGCCAGTTATACAACCAGTTATTACGACTTCTAAGTAAACAAATCATTGGCAGACATGCTGAAAGTATGCATGCTCAAATTTAATTTGGAAATGAACAAATGCAAAGTTAACAAAGCAAATATATCAAAATGTGCAGACTTGCAGCCTTTTTTCAAAGTATGATAATTAGGTCGTTACTATTACAAAAACTGCTGTATCACACCCTCTGGAGCCCAAGCGGGCATGACGACAGCCCTTTAGAGGGATCAAAATAAGTCTAACCTGGCAACTCACCTGCAGCCGTATAAGAACCTTGAACAGGTTAGATGCGTAAGAGCTTCGTAAGCAGCTGATGGTCATGCTCAGAGAAGAACTCATTTCACTCCCCAGGCCACACGACAACGCATCTCAAAATGCATCTCCAAAGACACAATTAAAAACAAAATAAAATGTTTTTTTCTGCTATAGTGAGCACATCTCCATGTAGGGCATTTCAATGGATACAGATTAAGGATGTTTGATAGGCCCAAAGCAATTGAGGCATTTAGATTGTGTTTAGGGCTTCAAAAGCAGTGCAGTCAACGATTTGGTTTAAATTCTCTCTAAAGTCAGCTGTGAGTCTGGGATTCTAAAACTTTAAATGGAAAAATCTCCACTGTTCCAGAAGTCTAGACAAGAAAATGGGGAATAGATGAAAGAGAGCTAATAATCATTCCACTCCATTTGTGAGGTGTGTTTAACATCAAAGCATGTGAAGATCGGTAGCGATGATAGTGCGGTTGAACTTGAATCACATGATAATGTGCTCAAAGGAATCTGTTCCCAGAATATGAGGGAAAGTTGAGCTGCTATATTATTGAGATTTTGACTTTCTATGCTACCATGTGAAGCTGGTGAAAATGTTTCGGTACGATGTATCAATCTTGATGTAAAAGTGCAGAATCCACCCTGATTTTCCACCCTGATTCCAGATGTCATGGTCATATTTTTTTAGACCCAAGGGTGTACAGTTAAAACCACATGCCTCTCAATCTCCCTAAAGTACATCCAGGTCAAAGGAATTCACACTATTCTGCTTTTGCATGTGTGTGTGTGTGTGTGTGTGTGTGTGCAAAAATCACTGACAAAACCCATGAGGTCTACATTAGGGTTTAGATGTTTCTCATTCCATAATAATAGGACCCGACTGCAGCCTTTTCATGGTGGATGTCAATCACCTTGCTCAGCAGTCCTCCAATCAGGTTGTTAAGGAATTGGTCAACACAAATCATATGGTATTTATAACCAGGCACAGCAGCACTGATGCGCTGACCTTCGCACTGTCTAACTGGAAAAGCGCGTTAGTGTATTTATTTATTAATCGTAGTAGATATGCGTATCGTAATTCACAACAATTACAAGCCCACCTCACAAATGTAACAGACTTGTCAACTCTCCTACAGCAGCATATTTAGGGATGAGTTGTTTACCAAATTCAACACCTATATTCAACCATGACTAACTTTGGCTTGTGTGGAATCATCACCTTCTGTTGCTGCAGAGATCAAAGACACTGTGCGAAAGAGGTAATGTTTACCAAAGAGTTGTATGTACAGAGATAAAACCACCATAGCGCTGCATGCACATCCATATCAGCTACTCCACGCAGCCACCTCCATTCCCATGTCCAAAGAAACCCCTCCACCGCTACGTCACGAGAGACCGCCACACGGCCCACATAGCCGAGGAATCAGGCTGAAACAATGACCGTGTCATCACATGCTAATGATAACCTGCGGCTTCTTTAGCACTCTCCCACAGGACGCCTCTTCTCTGACCTCACTTATTTACGAGCATCCTTTCCTGTGTTTTTTTTGTAGTACGTTGCATGTTACGTAATATTCTTGAAGATAATTGACTTATCACTTTTTTTCCCTACATTCATGACATCAATTTGACCCGTATCAACAGAAGTGTTGCAACAAATACTGTTATACATTGACAGCAGAGGTCCATTTTCTGTTCCGTTATCATAGTCTTGTTCTCAGGCTGCACTGACGGCACGGACAGGGAATGATAGTTTCGGTTATGGCTGTATTGACTATTCCTGAGAGGTCAGCACCATATGCTGCATTACCTAAAGGCTGATTTTGCCTTCCTATTGAAGAAACGGCACAGAGCCTTTGTAAATTGCGCAACATAACATGCAATGTATTAAAATAAACCTTAGCCCGGGTATTACTTACCTTTGTGAGTGAGCCGTATCCTCGGGTAGGTGCTGTGCGCTGTGTGAGCCGTACCGAGCAGAACCAGATACAGCAGCATCAGCGTCAGGTACACAGTCCGAATGCACTCGGCCATCTTCATTTAGAAAGTATACTCACGATTAGTCACATATAAATCCTGCAGGTAGACTCAATGTGGTCGGCAAAGTCCATGAAAAAAAGACTGTAATTTTTGCTGCAAGTTTGTGCAAACAATGTTTAATAAGAGATAGCGATCCAACCAAAGTCTACTTGGACGTAACTGACCATTTTCTCTCTATCCCTACAATGTAGAACAACCATATGTCTCTGCAGCTTCTATTCAGTCTCTGCTTTGCCCTTTAGCAGCCTGATGAAAGCTGCATCCACCTCGCTGGACAGGATTGTTTGGTCTCAGTAACCAGGGAGAAAAGTCCAGTTGCTACATTCACGCCACAGTGCCCACTGCTCTCTTCCATATGTCAGTCCTTCTGTCTGTTTGTCCGTCTCCACGCCCGCCTCGCATCCTGTCTTCCCGATCTGATGACAGAAAAAGCATGAAATAATAATTCAAGCGTATGAATCCAAGAAAGCTGTTGGAGTTGACTTGTGGAACCACCTTTTTGTTTTGTTTTGTTTCCCAGCAGGCAGGCGGGCAGGCAGGGCTGGAGCTGCTTTACTGTATCCTCAGGCTGCGTTCCTCTTCTTGGGTCCTCTGGAGCCAGTCATACTTTGAACGGAAGCCCAGGAAAAGGCAGAGTGGGAGAGGGGAGGAGCGGGGAGCCTCGTGCCTGGCGTGTGTCGGTCTCCCCGCACCAGGCAAGAAAGTGAAGCTCCTCTAACTCTGCCCACGCTCCGATGGTCAGGGAGGATCCAAACCTCACCTCAAGCCTTAGTGAGTACGGCTAGGATGGCTTCTACGCCACAGCTACCAATCTGAGCCGAGGCCACCTGCCTCACTGTGGTGTCTCTGAGTAAAAAAATCATTGAGTGTCAGCTTTGCAGGTCTTAATATTGCTGGCTCCTTCCTCTGTATTTTGTTGAGCTCCCTCCCTCCCTCCCAGGCAGCTGGAATAAATGTGCAGTGTGTCCCCGGCAGGCTCAGAACAACTCTGCACTCCCCTATGAAACACTGCCTCACATGTCACTCCGCGGACCACCCCTTCCTTCTCCTCTCCTCTTACCGTCCTCCTTCCACCTTCCTTTTTTTCTCGCTCCTACCTCCGCTGCATTAACATGGACCTGAGCCAAGGTTCTCGGCCTCTCAACAGGCACTTGTTTCATTTTCAATTATTACCTTTCTTTGTGTGTTTGTTTCCATGTGGATAATCATTATCACTGTTACCATGGCTTTTTTTTATCTACACCGTTTCTTTCATGCCCCGCCCATAAAATATCTCATTCTGTTTATCTGCACCTCACCCATTCCTCAGTTCTGTGCAAACTAGTCATTACTTTGTCCCTCCCTGTCATACCACGCCTGGCTGCTCTGTCTGTCCATCTGTATTCTGTCTAAATGAGCTAGCGCCTACGTCGATTTGTTTATGTGTAGGAAAGTTGTTTTTTTGTTTTTTGGAAGACATAGTCTGGTATCATCAGTACTGTGTCTAATGTTAATGTTGTGTTTGGTCTGTGTAGTTTTTTGTTTTGTCTCAAGGTCCACGGCTTTCTGAACCCAAACATATTCAAGAAAGAAAGCAAAACATCTACAAGATGTGACTGGAATCATTATTGAATTGTTCACGCGTCCCACAGGCGTCCAGTTTCTGGAGGAGAGTGTTCTCTGTCTCCCGCCAGACCTCCTGTAATACATCTGTTTCTCTGTGTCTCTTTCTAATGGCGGTGTGGTGACATCAACACGAAGTCACGCTCACCCCGAACGTGGATGTCTTAAAATAACGGCTCTTGGTTGTTAATATCTGCTCATGGTCCATTGTGCAATGTTAAATGTGAAAATAAATATCTTATCAGAATTCTTCACACCCGAAACCTTCGCTCATGATAGAGATCCACATCTATTCAGAGCAGAAATAAAACTGAATATTGTGAATAGCTGAAGGGGGAGAGGGAGGGGCTGTAAACGGAAAACAAGGGATGAACTCACAGTTTGAACATGAGTGTGAATGCTCACCCATCAACAAATGGCAAGCCTACAAAATTCGATCCATGCAAAACTGGAAATGATTCCTATAGGCTTTAGCAGCTGTACGTCTGTGAACAGAAATCTACTTGGGACCAGAAACAGCAGCAACGAGAACAACAGCTCAATCCCTCACCTGTTTCCCTCCCCTCTTTCTTGATTTGTGTTGTACTCTCCGCCCTTGATGTTTCCATTAGTATGATTCTGAGACATGCAGACCTCCTACACGGCTGCTATACACCGCTTTCTGTCCACCTCCATTCAAATGCTGTCCTCCTCTACGTGTGTCCCTGGGATTCCAACAATAGATTGAATATTTATTCAACATGCACCGCAGATATTTTCTGTCTAAATTCTGTGAATACGCCGAATTTCAAAAATGGCTGATGTCACGAAACCCGGAGCAGCAGCCTGTCACATTACCTTAAGTCACCTTCATGTAAGCTGCTGTTTTAGGAGGCTAAGGTTGTGTGTGATTGAGTGCTTATGTCTGACGTTTGTTTGGATAGGTCATGTTCAAACGTCTGTTGGCGTTTCCTGTCATGCCCTCTGAACACAAAAAAAACATTTTCATTCATGTTTGTACTGTGTCAATATACAAACGTGTTCACCAGAAGTCTCTCTCACCTCCTGTTTGGATCCCTAGCAGCACGCCTACCAAACCCTCAAGCATGGACACTGTTTGAGTGTCTAATAGTTACTTCCACTGAACTGCAGCGGTACAGTGCAAGAAAGTGAGGAAAAAAAGAGATATTAAGATAATAAAGGCAAGATAAATTTAAGTAGGTAAGTATGTGTACATGCATTTATGCATGAAACTGAGTGTATGTTAAAGTATGTCAACCAATGGCTGTCTGCTGGGCTCAGCTAAAGAGAGGTCAGCTCCCCGGTCTCCCGTGGCAACAGAAGCAGGAGACTCTGAGGATCCAGTGTTTCAGAGCTACTAGTCACTTTAACCGTTTACACAGGTGGCTATCACATGGCCGGTGAAGGTTCTCCCTACGGCACTCACTGAATTCAGAGACATCGGTCAGAGTTTGACGGCAGGTAAAGTCCTTAATTCCCCGCTATACATCAGCCATCACACAATATAACGTGAGTGACACACAGGTGTTATCCTCACTCATGCGTGTTGCATTGTGTATGATACCGCGCAGCCAGAGGGGAGTGTCTTTAAGCCACAAATAAACATTCAGGCGTGAGGGGAAGGTGAGAAGAAGAAGAAGAAGAAGAAGAAGAAGAAGAAGAAGAAGAAGAAGAAGAAGAAGAAGAAGAAGAAGAAGAAGAAGAAGAAGAAGAAGAAGAAGAAGTTGACCTACTCTGACTAAGAAGCCAGGTGTGGTGAGTGTGAACATTATCGTAAGAAACCACCGTGCACACATTTACCCACATGGAATACAACTTTTAGCACTGGTTAATAAAGAAACCATTCCACCGAATGCTGCTAACCCTCAGTTGTCCTGAGTATGCTTGTGTGTTTTGCATGAGTGTTGATGCAAACAAAGCACAGGAAATACAAATTCTTCTGTGGTATTTCTAATGACAAAAAACACCTATTGTGCAAGCTCAAATGCCTGGATTTTGGCTTCCTGTAGTTCAGCTCGTGTAGTAGTTGTAGGGTTAGTAATGGGAAATACAGGCCGGGCCATTGCTCTGCCGTCACAGATGGTGAAGATGAGGAATGGGTTATTCTTCTGGGGTGATAAATGGAAGTGACCATCTGCCCTCATGTGTATTCTCATCCATCATCATGGTAACCGTCACATAATCCGCAGGTGTTTACTCAGGTGTTGCTGTGTGTTTGCAAACGCATGTATACTGTGTGCATGTGTTTATGTGCCTACAGGTACATTTTAGTTATGTTTTTTTTGCGCATGAGGACAAAAACGTTCACAGAGATGTGAAAGTAGCTGTTAATCCCCAAAGTATTCTTATTCCTCAGGCTCGGCAGAGCGTCATGAGTGTATTTATATAGAAATGTTTACAACTGAAAAACCAGGCTGTGAATACTTTTTGTTGTAGTCTTGCTCTGTCTGTATGTCACTGTTAGCAGACAAAATAAAGATTGATATAACAATAATAATAATGACTGAAAACGATAGACTAAACACCCGCCTTCACCATCTACTTATGGATGTTTTTTCTGTCACTGGTTTTTAAGGGAATCCCCACACAGAAATGTGAGACAAATTTCATTCAGGAAAAAAAGCTAAAAAAACCCCAAGGATTTCTAAGTGTGGAAAAAAAAAATTGGACTCAATGCGGGGAAAATACAGCGCTGCTCTGTACACTGTTTCAATTCATAGAACCTTTAGACTTTTGGCTTGCTCGAATGAAGTGCAAACTTTCTGGACAACTTTGCTCACTGTAACCAGGGTGTAAATTCCTGCCTCGTCCATCTTTGTGGGGGAGACGACGTTCGTATGTTAACGCTTACCCCTCCGTGTTTATGAAAGATGAATGGTCCCACTAATAGAATCAGAGTGCCCCCCTCCTGCTCCGGGCCGGGACAACCATGCTTTGCTGCAACAGGGAGAAATATTGTGGAATTTTCACCCTGCCTCCATTTTCTGATAGTTTGCTCTGAGGCAGTAAAAGTTCCTCAAAAGCCTCAATGAATTAATTGATTAAATTAATCTGTGACTTGTAAAGGTAGCTGGTGTGTTTACATCCTGATAGTAACCACTCAACCAAGGCAACAATAAAAAAAAACAATCTGCTGTTTGATGTAGACAGAGACAAACTGAAAAACAAATTAGCTTTATAGAGGCCAAATGCTTTAAGACATCCGCGAATTAAGAGTGCAACTCATACTTATCTCATTGCTGGTATATCTCTCTTTGTAAATGATGGTGTCTGTCTGTTTTGCGCCCGCTGCTCACACAATTGCATGCAGCATGTGTTTGACAAGCATGAGTAAGAATGTGAGTGGGGAGATGGGGATTGGGTGGGGGCTATCAGGGCTCATGCATGTTGCAGATGTACTGTTGGTTTCAGCAGAACTATCAGTTGACCTCTTAACCTGCTTTATCGCAATCAGTGACCTTGGTCAAAATCTCCTCTGAATCCATCTGCACACGTCACTTAGTTTACAAGTCTCCCTAACTCTGATGTATGACCTTTACCAAATGTTGACACCCCAATGAGACATTTTCCACAGAAACACAAGCCAGCTGATGCATATGCACACACATAAACACAAGAATGTTGAAGGCGGTATTATAACCTGAGCCTTTGCATTTTTCTCCAGCAGGGTCAAATACAATTTACCTTGAAGGAATAGGTTGATATATGGAGAACTGTTTTCTAGCAGTGTCATGTCTGTAACAACAGGAGATGGCTCTCTAAACTTAGCACAAAGACTGTTATCAGGTGGAAATATCTAATCTAACCAAATGAAACAAAATCCACCTTCAAAGATCAATGATTATCATATGATCTGTTGAAAGGGATCGCTGTGGTTTGGTTGTATTCATCCTATTTTCAGTAAGATTAAATGACTGCGGGGCAGTAGCTTCTTCATTACTGTATGAACAAGGTGAGTGTGAAATCAAACGTTTCCTCTGACTCTAGAAAGCATTTAAATTACTTACGCTTAAAATTATATTAATCCTTCTGCCTTATTCCAACTAAAACATTCACGGCAATTCATTCTTAAAAATACAATACACCTCATTAAGTCACAATGTCATACATAAGCGAGTGCGGCCCCCGATCAGAGCAACGCCTGCAAGGCTGGTGTCCGATCTGTCTGAGCGTGACACACAAACACACTGCACGGAGTAAGAATTCCTTGAAAACAAGATCTGTATTGACTGTGTGAGAAGAACCTGTGGTAAACAGCGTTGAAATGTGATTAAATCAACTCTTTTCCCGGAACAAAAC